AGCAAAGCCATCTTGAAAGTGAATGCAGAGGTGGAGCTTGGATTTGAATGTGAAGCCTATAATTGTATGTTTATACTTCTGATCTCTCAATATCCAACTAAGCTATGACATTGCATTTGGTTTTACATCAGGGATGGAGAACCTATGGCCCATTAAAAAGAAGAAGAAAAAACTCCCGCTCGTGTGACCACCAACTGTGCTTCTGATGTTGATGGGTCCAAGAGATGCTTACTTACTTGGGGATCTTAGCAGCCAACTGAGCAGGTTTGTATATAAAGATATTATCTTTCTGGTAGCTTGGACCCAAGCCATATAGAGCTTTGCAGGGCATAAGCATAAGCAGCACTTTGAATGTTGCTGGGAAATGGACTGGTAGCCAGTGAAATTGTTGTTATTTTTCAGTGAAGTTGTTTTAACCAGGGGAGCAACATGCTCTCTGTAACCAGCCCCAGTCTAGCCAAAGCCTCTGAACTCTTTTCAAAGGCAGTCCCACATAGAGCACATTGCAGTAGTCCAAATGGGATGTAACTAAGGCATGTGTTACTCTGTGGCCAGATCCAACATCTCAAGGAACTAGTTATCCCAGTGCAGGGAAAAAGCCACCTTGTGTGTTTGCTTGGATGGTTTGAGGGGGTTTAATTTCTCATATAGAATGTGGCTTAACTCACCTCGAGTCACTTACAAGTAGTAGGATTGTGGGCATCTTGTTTACTTCCACAGCTTTTGAAATTCTAAAACGTGAGATATGGGATAACCTATGTGGCAATTATGTGGGGGAATCTGGTCTTAGGTCAGGGATAGGTTTCACCAGTTTTCTGGTCCATTCCATTAGAGGACTCCATCACAGAGGATGAAAGATATTCTACCTGATGCAACACTGGGAGGAACTGGTAAATCATTCTGTTGAAACCAGTAGAATTCTACCTTTGATACTTAAAAGATCTTGCTACATAGGGCACTGCTGGGAAGTCAATGCATTTTAGGGGTTTACTTGCTGAGTCAGCTTTCGATTCCACCAGTTTTGACCAATGAAGGTCACCAATATTCTTCACAATCTTCATTATCCAACCATCAAGTTGATAAGCATATATATAGAGAGCAGAGTGAGAGCTTTTGAACATTGGTCCTTGAAAATGATTGAGAATTAGGTAATTAGATAATTAATTAATTAGGTAAGGAATTGATATAACCTATTGGGCCAAGCCTGGGAGCTGTACAGAACTCCTTTGGAAGTTTTCACCGACAATGTTTGTCCAGTTCAATGTGTCATCTTATTTTGCATTTCTCAGGAGTAGAGGCAAAGACAATAACCTATAACTTTTGCAAAAAGGTCCTTTTAATTAAAGGATTTAAACTAACAAGGAGACACCTATGTACCTTCACCTTATCTTTCAGATAAAGACCTCCTGGGGTAAGCCTGACAAATCCTTATCGGGAAGATAAAGGACCCTACTATGATGGGCCTTATCGCTTAATTAAATCCTAGTACAATGTACAATGAAGTCAATAATTGGTTATTCAAGATAGCTCTTCAAAAAATTGTGTCTATATTGGAGGAGGCATCTCTATTGGGCTCTCTTGCACTGTAGCGTGAGATGTAAGGGGATGGGTTACCTCACTTGTTGGCGGAAAGGAACAAATTAATTAAAAACAAGGTGTGAAGCTTAATGTGGAGAGCGGCTGATAAATGAATCTGATGGTTTGGCAAGATAAGCAGAGAACCTTATGCCTTGAATTTAGCACAGGCCCAATGAGGCTAGGTCTCTCTCATATCTGCTCTCATACTCAGCAGCTACTTCCAGGAACAGGTCACAATCTGACTCCAGGCTTTGGGGCAACGACTTGAGTGGGTCCACATCTTTTCTTCTGTCCTCATTTGCCTTCTGGACTCAATCCACACAACCACTCAAGAAGAAAGCACAAGGGAAACGGAGGAGGCTGCTCCTTCTCCTCACTCTTGGTCTCCCTCGCATGCATAGAGAGGGTTGATGTACAGGCAGTGACAGCAGCAGGGCCAGGAGGCTCCAGGGCAGAGGTGGGGAACCTCAGGCTCAGGGTCTGATCGGAGCTCTCTTAGCCTGTCTGTCTGGCCCTCAGAGCTCTCCCTAGACCACATCCCTCACTGGTCCTGCTTCGCACCCTGAATGTTTCTCTCTGGCTGGAAAGTGTCCTTGAACTCAGATGTCCTTTGCTTGCCTAGTTGGAGGACACTGATGGATGTGTGTGCAGAAATCAGTCTACTGTAGAAAGGCAACATCTCCTTCCATTGTTCTATCCACTTGTGCCTCTGGCCCTACCCACCACTGCCTTGTGGCTCTCAGAAGGTTGCCCAGAAGGGAATGCAGCCTTTGGGCTGAAAAAGCTTCCCCACCAGCAATTGGCAGTGGCTACCATAAGGTTCCAACAATGCCTACTCCTGATTCCAAACCTACACCTAAAACCACTTTAAAAAGATGTAAAAAGTACAGTTGTACCTCAGCTCCCGAATGCCTTGGGTGTCAAGCATTCTGGCTCCTGAATGATTGAAAACCGGAAGTGAGTGTTCCGGTTTTTGAACATTCTTTTGGAAGCTGAACATCTGACGGGGCTTCCACAGCTTCCGATTCCTGCAGCCAATCAGAAGCCGCACTTTGGAAGTCGAACGTTTCGGAAGTCCCCTTAGGTGCTTCTTCAGCACACTTGCAAGTAGAACTCTGTTTCAGTCCCCACCATCAAAGAGTGTCGGACTAGGACCTGGGAGACCAAGGTTCAGCCATAAAGCTCACCAGATGACCTTGGGCCAGTCACTGTCTCTCAGCCTCACACACCTCACAGGGTGGTTGTGGGGATTAACTGAGGAGATGTATGCCACCTTGGAGGTGAGATACAAACACAAGAAATAAATGATAAATAATAAATGTTAAAAGCATCTCAGGTAGTAGGGTCTTGGATGGAGCAGTGGTCTGCTTGCTGACTCCACATAAGGTGACTTCATCTGTTACTTCACATGTATTATACCTCTGGTTTAAGCTAGCAGGGGCTTCAGAACAATACATTTCCATGCCTGAATTCCATTTTTAGGTAGGGGTTTCAGCAGATATGAGTCAAGAGATCTACATAACAGTTCAGTACGTGATGATGGAAAGCTCTCAGTCCATCATCTTCATTAGCCATTCTTCTCTGGTTGGAACTTTGTCTTCTTTCCATCACTGAGCCCATAGTATTCTTGCTCCTGTTGTCGCATACATAAATAGTCTTTTCTGCTCTTTCGGAATCTCTGTACCTAAAATGCCTAACAAAAAAGCCTCTGGTTTTTCCACAAATGTTATTTTAAACTTTCTTTCCAATCCATTATATATCATTTCCCAGAATGCTTTGAGGCCTGCGGGTATAGGGGCGGTATACAAATGTAATAAAATAAAATAAAATAAGTAAAGGCCCCATACAGTGCCTGATTTCTAAAAACCCTATATACAATTGTGAAATAATACACAACAATGAACAATGCAGTTCATGTCAATTTAATTTCATTCCATTCCAGCCAACCATTCCAGCACAATGACTAAAAATCGGGGTCAACCTAAGAAAAGCAGGATTAGGCCTGGCCTATGTGTTCTCACAGCAGCCAACCAGAAGCCCACAGATCCTCCTGCAGTTTCCAGCACCTTGTATTCAGACCTTGGGGACAGAGCATAGCCATCCTAGCTAGTAGCCATTGATAGCCTTGACTTCATCATCATCATTACTTATCTGGGATAAGTATTCATCTTATTATTATTTTACATTATTTTTATTACCATTTTAATTGGTATTTAAAGAAATACAAAATCCAAGAACCATTAAACACCAATAATAACCCAGCATGATACACCTAATGGTGTTTATTCTATCCGCTGACTTTACACACTGAGAAGACTGAGTGGCTGGTATAAAAAAGGTCTTGATAGGAGTCATTAACAGAGTTGAAGGAAGAAGTCCACTTCCTTGAACACTTATTTAAAAAGCAGTCGGGAAAGGAACAAACAAACAAACAAACAAACAAACAGGTAGGACATCGCAAGATGACGAAGCCTCCTTTTCCCCAGGGAAAAAACGGCAGCTGCCTGCCTACACCAAGTCCCAGTTTTTTTTAAAAGGGTCTTTGGAGGATAGCAATGATGGGGAGCCCCAGAGATCCACGGCCAGCGAGTCACAGTTGGGCTGACCGGGAGCGGACTCGGAGCGAGGCAGGTTCAGAAGTTCAGGCGAAGAAGGGCAGAATTCAAGCCACCCGGCGCTGCCGTCGGGGGTTTGGGTTCCTGCCAATGAGAACGGGTCGGCGGCCACTTTCCCCCGAGGTCAGCCAGCGGGTCAGAGGCTTGAAGCCTAAATTCCACCGAAACGAACCAGAGCCCCCTCCTAAAACAGGAATGGGAGGCGAAAATGGGTGAGTTGGAGCGGGATGCGGGAAGGCGACACCCGCGTTACTGCCGAGGGCTCACTTTGGCGGGACAGAGGACGTCAACTCGCAGCCGAGCGCATTCCCACGACCAGCACCCTTTGGGGTGTTGATGCGTGTCAGCGAGATCCTCATCCTCATCCCCGGCGCTGTTACTAATATTATCAGGACACGGATCTGCTAGGGCGAAAGACGGAATGGGAAGAATGATGGGTTTCATGTGCCAAGCATATATTCCTTGTTTCGGCCCTAGGGAACCCGGCAGCGGCAAGAAATATTAATTCGGATTATTTCCCAGCTGCCCTGGAAAAAGCCCACCTACAGCGCCAACTCAATTAATAAATTCTGCGCATGCGCCACGCCGCTGCTCCGTCGAGATTTCAAACCGCCAGCCTTCCTTTGCGCGCATGCGTATTGCTGTACAGCTTTTTTTGTCAGCGAAACCGGCGGGGGCGGGATCGCCATTTCCTTGCGCACGCACCGCAAGCCCTTTGCGTCACTGCCCAACGCCCACCAGCGGCCTTTTCCGCCCTACTTCCGAAACTGCGCAGGCTCGCGAGAAGTGGGTTGTTGTTTTTTCCAGGCCTGTTTGCGGCGGGTTAACCAACGAGCGGCGCGCTGCCTCAAGGAGGGAGCTGGTCCTCCAGTATCCCAGAGTGCAGCGCGGCGTCAGTGGCGTCGTTCGCTCCCCCCGCCACCACCCGCTCCTGTCGTCTTTCCCTCAGCCGCCGGCCGCCATGTTGTGCTAGCTTGCTTCGAGCTCCTCGGCGGCGGGCGCTCAACCACCCACCCACCTCCCTCCCTCACAGCGCGGCGGGGCCGAGAGAAGCAGGCGGGGCGCGGGGGTCCTCGCAGGGGCCCGACGCCATGGCAGCTGCCTTGGGAGGAGGAGGGGACGGAGGAGCAGGTACGGGGGGAGGGGAATTCTCCGCCCGCGAAGGCCGAGGGGGCGCGGCCGGCTCGGGATACAAACGGCGGGGCCCAGTTGCGGGACGGGGAGGCGATGGGGGGGGCGTGCGAGTGGGGAGGGGGCTTCTGATCTCGAGGGGCGGGTGGCGCAGGCGCCCCTGTCAGCCCCGTCGTTTGCTCGGAAGGAAGTCCTACTGTTTTCCGTAGGGTTTAACCTCGCCCCCCTCAATGTTTTTCGCGCGGGGTGTGTGTGTTATTTAGTAAGGCCTGTAGGAAGCAAAAGCGGATCGTGGGTTCTAAAGTGGCGGTGGTGGGATGATCCTCTATCTATTGATACAGTGACAGGAAATAGCTAGAGGGCCCCGCGAGTTTCGCCTGTGCTGGTGGGGTTGCTTCATCTACAGATTACGTCGAGTGGGATAGATAGATTGGTCAGAGGCGCGCAGGGTTGGTTCTGGGGTATCGGGGAACTGGCAGACGGGGGAGTAGTTATTTGGGGGGTGGGAGTGACAAGCGGTACGATGCTCTTATGAAAGGGACGCTTGATGCTGGAGCTGCTCGGGGAGTTGCCATCAGGGAGGTGAGCCGTCAGATGTTCGATGGACTCCCAGCTCCCATCAGTCCCAGGCAGTGTGGCCAGCAGCCAGCTGTGATTGATGGGAGTTGTAGTCCAGTAACCACAGGCTTTTCACAGGACGAAGAGTGGGCCACCAGAAGTCAATGCTGAAAGACATTTATGTGGGTCTGTGGACGAATTATGGGCGTGTTTCTATAGCTAGGAAAGCAGGAGAAGCTAATCTGATTTGTAAGACTGTTCCTTGAAATAGTCTCATGTCACAAGTGTGGACTTAATACCAACTCTGGAAACAGAGTATTTGAACAAGTGGGGAGTAAGGACTAAATGATATGATATTATTCAGATTGGTTTGCTTCTCTAACACCTTTTTACATATTGTTGCACTCCACCCCAATCTGTGTGGTGCAAGATTTGAGGGGTTCCAGACAACCAGGGCTTGTTTTCCTCTGAATAAGTAACAGCAGAGACTGTGATGTCTTTTGGATATATGGTTTATTTACACATATATACAACCTGAGTCGCCAATGGGCTTGTTTCTCCCATAGCCACAACTTTGGATTCATAGAGAAATCAAACATCTCTTGAGTCTTTCTCCCGCTTGCTGCATCGCTTCTAACTCACATCACTCAACTCTCCCCTCTGGCCTTTTGTCTTTCTAACACTCAACTGCAGAACTGTTCCCTTAGCTGGTCTGGCTATTCCAGCAATTGAATTTGTGCTGGATCCAGGAATTAGAAGGGGAGGCTCAGTCATGTTAGTGATTCTTTCAATACTGCTGTGGTAGCATGGTTCAGTAAGAAAAAAAAGTCTTTTAGTACTATGTTCCCTCTTCTTTGCTAGGTGAATTTAATTTTGTTTGGGGTAACCCACCTGTAGGTTAGAAACTTTTTTTGAACATTTTAATTGGTTTTGTTTTTTGTTCCCATCATAAGAATGTATAGTTACTTTACCTGAAACCATCCTAGAGTCCCTCAGAGTTTTTTCAACTTGCTTGAGAGCAACTGAAGCAATGACAGTTAAAGGGTCTTGAAGTAGTATCAGAGAGGAGATAGTGCCAAACTGACCTGAGGAAATATTGAATTCCAATTGAGTGTCTTGGTATTAAACTATTAGATTTTATTTGGAAGCTCAAATATTATTTTTGCATAATTTTATTTGGATTTAAAATATGAATTGTGATTTCAGTTTAATATCATTACTTTGCCAGGAAACGTAAGATTTGTCAGAGTACTCCCTGAATGCTGCTGTCAGATATATCATGTACATTACTCATTTCCACAAAAACGATGCTGCAATTCTAACTGATGGTTCTGAATGCCACCTTAACACTTACTAAGCTTTAGCAAGTAAGCCCACAACAGAAACATTTACTGCGAAACTTCTAACATTCTTGTGTTACATAATCTTCCTTGCATTGGAAAATTGTTTTATATTCCAACCCCCACTGTTCATTGTTAGCATGCCTAGAGACTTTTCACTCTAAACCAGTGTTTCTTAACCTTTTTTTCTCTGGGCCACACTTTCAGAATAAAAATTTGCTCACACTGCTCCATTTTTTAATTGATAACAAAAAGAAGCAACTCCTAGCAGTGCTTGATTTATACAGTAGAACACAGCTACTTTATAGTATGAACATGGGACACTCAGAAAGTATGAAACAATGCAGCTACATAAGAAAATGAATCATTCCCAAAATATAATTATAAACCAGGTAATCTCATTTATGTTAGGTCTAATTTCAGACAAACTCTCATCTCCTCATCAACACAAATAAATCTTTCTCGTTTCTGATCTTTCACATTTATGAGAGCTGAAAATCTGTTCATAACAATATGTTGTGGAGAAGTGTAGAAGAATAGCCAATACTTTTCACAGAACTCTGTTCAATTGGTGATTTTGGATCACAGTTAGGATTGTCCTCAGTATCACTTGATGCTCTTGCTCTCATTTTGAAAAGATGCCCCATGCTCTGCAAATAAAAAAATACTTTGATCTTATATATTACACAGAAATATTTAAATGTTTCTTTGATTTTCCTTGAATCTTCCCATCCTCTCCTGCCACACCAGTGTGACACACCACACCCTTTGAGAACCACTGCTCTTAACAGAACTACAGTGGTACCTCGGGTTAAGAACTTAATTCGTTCTGGAGGTCCGTTCTTAACCTGAAAGTGTTCTTAACCTGAAGCACCACTTTAGCTAATGGGGCCTCCTGCTGCCGTTGTGCCGCCGCTGAACAATTTCTGTTCTCATCCTGAAGCAAAGTTCTTAACCCGAGGTACTCTGAGTCTGTAACCTGAAGCTCCTGTAACCCGAGGTACCACTGTAATTGCTTGGGAGACACTGATTACCTAAACCACCTTTTGCACAATGGGGCCTAGATTCATTTCTGGATGAAGGTATTACTTTGACTGCTTTCTTCGCATTTATATGAACAAAAATTTCTTTTTCTTTTCTTTAATCTTGAAATTAATGAGATCTTTCACTGATATAAGAAAGTCTGAATGTAAACTTACAGGGTGGCCTACCACTTGTCTTTTCAACTCTTGCCTCAATGGCTTATTAAACCTGACTGGGTCCAGGGGGGTTGAATTGGAGGGTGCAGTGTGTGGCAAATACTCATTGTGGGAGAGGGAAGTGCCATCTGTGCTCAATGAGGACTTCCCTGGACACTGAAGTTCCTAACAAATCTTCCAGTCACCAATATCCTCTTTTGGCAAGGGGAAGGGACAAGGTGCTTGAGAAAGTGGCAGTGACCCAACTACAAGCATGGCTTTAATGAAGTGGATTATTTAGATCCACCTTAATCTGGTTTAAGGCTACTGAGGTTGTAGTACAGTGGTACCTCGGGTTACATACCCTTCAGGTTACATACGCTTCAGGTTACAGACTCCGCTAACCCAGAAATAGTGCTTCAGGTTAAGAACTTTGCTTCAGGTTGAGAATAGAAATCGTGCTCCGGCAGCACCGCAGCAGCAGGAGGCCCCATTAGCTAAAGTGGTGCTTCAGGTTAAGAACAGTTTCAGGTTAAGTATGGACCTCCAGAACAAATTAAGTACTTAACCTGAGGTACCACTGTAATTGATTACTTTTGTTTGGGAGAGGAATGCTGGGAGTACAGCCTTACACATTTTTCAGTTTGGTGACTCTTGATACCGTTGATCATAGTATCTTTCATTCTAGTGGGGCTTCATGGATTGAGATTGAGAGGCACTGTTTTGCAATAGGTCTGTTCCAGAGGTTATTCCCAGAAAGTAGCATTGGGGAACTACGATTCAGCACCATGAGATATAACCTGTGGTGTCCTGTAGGTTTAGTCTGTTCTCTGATGATGTTCAACGTCTAAATGAAGTTGTTGCAAGCTGTCATCAGGGGATTTTGAATGAAGTGTCATTAGTATGTTGATGACACCCAGCTCTGTCTGTCTGTCTCTTGCCTCTGAATCAGGAGTAGCAGTTGCCTGAAGGTGGCATTGGGCTGAATGTGTGCCAGCACCTTGAAATTGAATCCAGACAAGATAGAGGTGTTGTGTGTTCCTGGTTCTTGGGTTTAGAAAATGAAAGATCTGCCAGCTCTGGGTTGGTTTGCACTTGCCCTGAAAGTGGGAGAGGGGATACTGCTAGATTCAGTGTGATAATTTGAAGCCTAGGTAGTGAAGAGTACCTAGGTTTGCCAACCATGTCTCATCCTTGATGGAGAATACCTAGAAACAGTAGTGCATGGTTTTGTAGACCTCTGTATTGGATTGTTGTAATGTGCTCTGTGTTTGGCTGACCTTGAACACTGTTAGTTGATCTGCAGAAAGTGGCATCCAGGGTGCTAACTGGCCAGGCGCATATTGTGCCACTCCTAAAAGAACTGCATTGGTTACCCGCTTGCTTCTGAGCTCTAATGAAGTGGTTGTTGCTGAAGTAGAAAGTCCTGAACAACTTGAAATATCTATTCACAGTCATCTACAGCACCTTCATTTTACCTGGATTAAGTTTAAGCTCGCTCAACTTCAACCAACCCAGTAGAGTTTCCAGACAGGTGTTCAGAGTTCAACAGCCTCATTGAAATGAGCAGACAGAAAAATGAGTCATAGCTGAGTGTCCTCTTCATATTGATGACTCATCAATCCTAACCTTGACATGGCTTCTCCCAACAGTTTCATGTAGATGTTGAAACACATGGGGGAATTGTACTCCTAAGAGTCATGTCAAATGAATTTGTGAGTAATAACAAGATCCATACTTATAGTAGGCACATTTAGCTTGTCAAAAGGTACATTTGTTTGTTTTATAAACTTAGATCCTTGCCTTAATACTAGGACCCTGGGGTGGGTTACAACAATAAATACAATAAACCATCTGCAATGAAAGACATTAAGATTAGCTATATAACAGAACATTTAATAGTTGTGGGGTTTTTTTGCAGTCTCAGCTTCATTCTGCATTAATAAGTCTGATGAAAGAGGCAGGTTTTCAGCTGGTGTCTAAAACTAGACATTGGTACTAGTTGAATTTTCAGAGGGTGTGCGGTTATTGAGAAGTTTTTTTCAGTGGAACAGCCACAAGGAGGAGTAATGGCTCTCACAGTGTCAGTACCTGAGTGTCAGTACCTGAGTAGTAATGATGGCTTTTGCATATTGAAGAGGATGTCACATGACTTTTTGTACAGAGGTAACATTTCAGGGCAGGAAAGCCTTCTGAAATCCATATTCTTGTTTGCAGGGGAAAAAAGGCTTTCTGTCAATTTCCTGCATATGCATGGAATGTCTTTCACTGCAGGAAGGAGTTGCTGAAAACTAGGAATTGGTGGAGTTTTAATGTTAAACCTCAGTTTTAAAAATATCAGGTTTTTTGTTAACTTAGCAGCAGCTTAATAGAAATCTTAAATGCAAAAATCAGCTGAGACATGTACCACTTCAGACAAGCACAGAAAATAGTCATTCTGATCCCTTGCTTTACAATATGCCCTTTAGTCTTGTTATTAATAAGTGGCAAACTTAATTTGGTTTTCTATTGTGCATGTTAACCTATGGAACTTGCTGTCATAGGGTGCTGTGGTTTTTACCATTGTATCGTAAAAGAGCTTACAGTGGTGCCCCGCAAGACGAATGCCTCGCAAGACGGAAAACCCGCTAGACGAAAGGGTTTTCCGTTTCTGAGTTGCTTCGCAAGACGATTTTCCCTATGGGCTTGGTTCGCAAGACGAAACGTCTTGCTAGTCTTGCGATTTCCCCCCCCCGCTCCCCCCCTTTTCCTAAGCCGCTAATAGCCTTTTAGCAGCTTAGCCGCTAATGCTTTAATAGCCGCTAAACCGCTAATAGCGCTAATCCGCTTAGCCGCTAATAGGGTTGCTTCGCAAGACGAAAAAACCGCTAGACGAAGAGAATCGCGGAACGGATTCTTTTCGTCTTGCGAGGCACCACTGTACATTTATTTAAGATGATTCTTAGTGAAGCACCCAAGTCCCAATTGATAAAAGCAACATAGTAACAAGCAATCAAAAGATCAAAGAAAGCAGAAAGCAGTGGCAGTGAACAGCATCAATAACATAATGGAATCGAGAAGATTTATGGCACTACTGGCAAACTAGAAGGATTCCTTTCAGTTTAATAAGTCTAGTATATTTTTCATTTCTTCTCATAGAAGAACAAGTGTAAGAGCAATTGGCAAGTTCTAAGGAGAGAAAATGTCAGCACTGCTGTTTTATGATCTGTGATTTTCTTTCTGTATTCTTGTGCAAATCACTATATGTCTTCTGCTTACAGATGATGACTTTGATCAGTTCGATAAGCCTGGTGCGGAAAGATCTTGGAGGAGGAGAACTGGAGATGAAGACTGGGACAGGTAAGCCCTTTTAAAAATGTTGTTGTTCGTTATATGGAATTCCATTTTATTTTAAGTTTGTATTTTGTATCCTGCTTTTTTAAAGTGCAAATTCATACACTAATGAAGTTATCTGCCTGCTGTGTTCGTGTCATATGCTCAGTTGTGGATAATGTACATCTGTCGTGAAGAGCTTAGTCTGGAGATATGAACAAGTTAGTATAATGAATAACATTGCATAAAATGTTGGCAGGGTAAGACTTGCTCTTGCAGTTGGCTTCATAATTAAATGTAGTTTAGTTAAGAAGAGAGAATTCCATGGGGAAAAATATTTTTTGCTTTAAAGCATAACATGTTTTATCTTGGATACAAACAGGTTCCTAAAAATCCTCTTAAACATTTTTTAATATCTAAATTGACGTTTCCTGCTTGGCAGGGGGTTGGACTCGATGGCCCTTGTGGTCTATTCCAAATGCTATCATTGTGTACAGTTAGGTTCAAGTGGCCTGTAATAGCTGTGCCCCACCCTCTTCTGGTACTCTGTACTACCTTGAGATAGTTCCAGAGTGCCAACAATAGTGACTCCTGCTGCTTTAGTCAGCAGCCAGGATATGAGTGCAGCAGGACATTATTTATTTGCAGCAGAGCATAGGATCAGGCCCCCATAGTGCAATATTTGCACACGATCCTTTTTTCTTCCAAATGTTTCGCGCTGTGAACACCACTAGAATGGCAGTTTGCTTTTATATCTTGTTACTACTACTTCATAGCTGAATTTTTTCTTGCCACTTGGAAAGGATATTGGTGTCCCCATCCCAGTTAGCACCTGCTTTTCAACAGAGCAAATGCTTCCACTGCTTTTGTGGGCTGGGAACAGAGGAGATGTGCAGAATGAAAATTGCTGATAATCTTTGATAAGAGGAAGGAGTAGGAATTGTAGGTTACTCAAACTGTTGCTTTTTCCAGCTCGCATAGTTGATTTCTCTTAGATATGTGTTCTCTTCAGAAATTGTATAGGTGAACTTCACTTTCTTTCTAATGCAGTATCTTTAGGGTGGTTTTGATGAATGGCCTCCTGACCTATTGTCCTGAACAGCAATGAGCATTACTCCCCATGCATGTTTAATTTCAGGAGAAAACATTAGGAGACTGGTGTTCTATCAGTGGTAAGGGTTCTAGCCTGAGTGCTAGTCCAGGGATGCAAGGTCATGCACTGCTAGTGCCAGTTCAGGATCCAGTCAACAAAGCCAGGTCAAGGAGAGACTGGATTCCAGTTGGGCAAGGTTTAGTAATCTTGAGGTCAGATGCCAGTGAGCATGACCAAGTAAGATCAGGCAAAGAAAGCAGAGGTTGCAGTCCTAAAACAGCAGATAGCAAGTAGCACCCTGGACAGCTCCAAACAGAGTTTAGATAACTAAGACAAGACAGGCTTGAATGTTGCTCCAACATATGGCAAAACCAGCCTGAGCTATCGGGGAGAATATCTTGGTGACCACAAACCTGAGCCAAAAGAACTCCTAACAATGTTGATAAGGTGGAAAATGTGTTGGAATTACATTATATGAAGATTGGCAGTCTTCCTTTGTGACACTCCTTATGCTCAGTAAGTTTCCCGCCTCTTGCCATGAGAGGTTTATGCTGTGGTAAGGAGCTTTTCTCAAAAGGAGTTAAATTAAGCACTAACTATGGTTTTGAGACTGCTAATCTTTCTTTAAAATTAGATGAACATCAAAATGTGTTTTGCATTTGTTCTATTTAATTTGCTCTGCTTCAGTACTGTTAAGGGTCAGTGGGCAAAAATGATCTGGAGGAGTCAATATTAAATAACTGGTGGTAAAATGGAAACCATAAGTTCTTTTAGAATCATCATGAAGCACCATGTAACTGTTTGTCTCTAGCCTTTAAGTCACCTAAATAATAATAAATTTAATTGTTTGTTTATTTAAAGTATTTTTACCTCACTATTCAAACAAAAGGCTCCCATAACTGCAGAGTTTTGATTTTGGTGGTTTCCTAAAAAACGCTGTTTTTGAAATATGGCAACCCTGAAATTGCTTCCTCATTTCTATAACTTCGACTATTTTATGAATTACAACAGCTTTTAGAATCCTTGCCTCAGAAAGCTCATTGTAAGTCTGTGAATGATTTTTTCTTCCAGTGAATTAGACGATGACTTGCTAGGAGAAGATTTGCTGGCTGGCAAAAAGGTAAATAAGTAAGCTGTATGCATATATATATATAGGCATTAACTTCTTTGGTTCCGCTGGTTTTCTGTTTTTGTAGAGTGTATTGGAGCACCTCTGACAGTAACCTGATTGTGTTTATCTTCAAGCATGTGCTTGTATATGGCAGTCTGAAAAGAGTTCAACAAAGCCAGGTTTCCCACCCAGTGCTATTTCTTTCATGTATGGAATGATTGGCAGTTTCTCCTGCTTACTTCACAAAGTGGTGTGAGGGCAGTTATGAACACAAATGTACACAGAAGCTACTGATAGAAGGACCTGTTCTAAGGCCAAAGGTTGGTTATATAGAGCAGTTGCATTGAGGGGAAACTTGAAGTATGCAATATTCTTGTTGAATAATGACAAATAGCTCTTTTTAAACTCTCACCTGAATATTTAGCAGGAGCTTGTATACCAAGTATCAATGATCTTGCCAGGCAAGTGCAAAAAAATAGATATTTGAATACAGAATTGAAAACCATCAGATTTGCAGCATTCAGCTTTTCTGGCCCTTATAGCAGTGCCTGGAAACAGGCAATCAGTTCATATATCAACAGAAGTGACCAGAGGAGAAATGACCACTGGGAGGAGCACAGAGAGAATAAACTCCGTGGTGCACCTGTAGCAGCAAAACTGGACACCTTCATCTGCCCCACTTGCAATAAAGCGTGTCTCTCCAAGGGTTTTACTTTACCCCTGCACTCTTCCATTGTCTCCTGAGACAGATGGATGCCAAAATGTTACTAGCGCTTTATGAAATTATGGAGATCAGAGGAGGGCTGAGAAAATTTCCCAGAGGTTTGGAGGTGGAAAGCTTGTTAGGCTCCTTTTAACAGCTGTTTTCCCATTTCTGTGGGCTGGCAAAAGTAAAATAAGCATATTGATATTTTATGCAGAGTCGTGAATTCAGCAATTTGTGTTAACTTTGCACTGAAAAATACCATTGTTCTCCAAAGTATGCATTGCTATACTTGATGTAGCTATTAGTCCTGTTTGATGTTAAACATGGATGCTTTTCTTTGAGACAAGGTCTGTATATGTAGTAAATCAAATGAGGAGGGAATATCCATTATAAACAAGGTTCTGTGGTTGCTGTGGCAAGTGGACCCTAGCCTGTAATGCATTATAGCCACCTTCCCAGCTTTGGAGTTGTCTAGGCATACAAACTAGCAAGTTACCTCTTTCTAGCTCCAAACCCAAGGCTTAGAGTGGAGTAGGGGATTGTGTTTGATCTCATGCAGAGCTGCAGTACAATGTCAACAAAGGAAGGGTTATTGTGGTTTGGCTGCTACGATAGCAAAAATTGTGGGCCACAAAGCATAAACACTTGTGGCAAGTACCCACTCTCTTACTGACTTTGAGTCATGACTTGAATATCATTGACTTCAGTGGGTCCAGCTAACTTGGGTTTGGTCTAACCCATTGTTTAGTACAATCTAGCCCAGGCATAGGCAAACTCGGCTCTCCAGAAGCTTTGGGACTACAATTCCCATCATACCTGACCGCTGGGCCTGTTAGCTAGGGATGATGGGAGTTGTAGTCCCAAAACATCTGGAGGGCCGAGTTTGCCTATGCCTGATCTAGCCTCGTTTTGCTTGTGATGCGGTTTGTTCATACTGCTTCTTAAACCTATCGTGGTGGTTTCCCTATCATTTTCCTTGCAGCATTTTTAAACAAAGCAAACAGTAGTAGATCTGTTGTTTCACTTTCTTCATCCCTGTTGCATTTTGTTAATCTTCTACTTAATGATCAAGCTATTTCTTTTTTCAAAGAATTTTTTAGTCTGCTTTTAAAATTGTCTTTTTTGGGTTAATATAAATTTGTATATGTTGTCCTTTAAAACAAGTTGTACTAATACGCCTCTTTTTTGGTTACTTGACCTGCTTTCTGTTGGATGGAAACAAATGTTGACAACACAATTAACAAATTGGAAGGTGTTCAGAGCAGCATAACAGCTTATCCAACCTTTAGCAATTTTGCTGCTGTTCTCTGAACTCCTTCCAATTTCCACACACTTTCTGTCTCTAGATCTTTCCCAGTTAGCCTTTCAACCAGGCCTTTGGCTGATTTATATCCTCTATCCTTTTAAGTGTGTTGCAGGTGTGTGTTTTCTTGTTTTCCTTGTTTTTATTATGTAATTTATGGTTTTATTTTGTATTTATACACTGTGAACTGCCCTGAGATCTTTGAATTAAGGGCAGTATACAAATTTTATAAATAAGCACATAAAATAACAAAATAACCTTTAGAATAGCAGCCTTTAGATGTTGAGTAAGAGAGAGATACATATACGTAAACGTATACGTATACATATACATATACATATAATGTTTGTATATATACATATACAATATACATATGTTTGTTAAATCCTAAGTGCTTCACCACCACCCCTGCCCAATAAAACCCACTTTATTTAGCCAAGGTCACAACTTTTAAATATTCTGTCATGTAGCATGCTGCTGTGAGAGGAGTTTTTCTTTAAGTTCAGGAGTAATTGTTGGCTTTTTTCCAGTTTTGTTTGGTGTTTAGTTTTCATGGCACAGTTTCTGGTCTCTTGTCTTGCCAATTGAACCTTCTAGCCAGCAGTATTGCCACAAGCTTTGGCAGTACAAACTCCTATCGGTCAAGAGATCAAGGGAGAAACCCTGATATGTGATTGTGCAAAAACCAGTTTCTTTTTATCTTCCCTTTGTGTGGCCTCGTGTTCATTTCCATTCCACTACTCTATAAATATATTTGTAACAGACACCGGTATGTTTTTCATAGGCAGTAGGCATTCTTCAAATGTATGCTCTGATTCTGAGGAGTCTTGTACCACTTTCAGACCACTTTATTATTTAGACCAGCCTTCCTCCAAGGAGTTTAGGGTGGCGTACACAGGTCTCTCCCGTCTGTCCAAACCTTCCTTAACAAATTGTTGTAAAGCTTAGAGATAATGATTGGCCCAAAGATGCCTTTTGAGTTCAGTAAGCCTACAACTTATGCACATCTACCTTGTGCGCATATACCTTATGTGCTTGGTAAAAATAATAATAATAATAATGGAAAAGAGGGGTGGAATTGGGTGGGCGTAGAGGGGAAAAAACTGCTTTGACAATCCCACCCACCATTGCACCTGATATGTTTTTATTATACACAATTTTGGCTTTAGGCCCAATCCCTGGAACGTAACCGCACGTAAGTTTTCGGCTTACTGTATTGAGACTGAGCTGAGATTTAACTTCGGATTCCCTGGTTTAAATCAAACACTCTTGCCACTGACCACACTGATTTTTTATTACATTGTCTATCCCTAATATTGGAAAATGTGCTTTCCTTCTTCAAAGTCAGGCTGTTACTGTAAGTTTTGAAATTGCTTGTGAATGTTGATTTTTTTAATACGAATTTTCATCAGTTTTTTATGCAGCCCGTTTAAATACAAAGTTTTATACTATTTTCTTCTAATCCAATGGTCTTCAACTGGTGGGCTGGGACCCACTTGTGGGTAGCAGCCTGATTGAAGGTGGGTCGCAACAGGAGCGCTACCACCATGCATATATATGGTAAAAGATGTTTGGGTTAAAAGTGGGCTCCGAGTCTGAAAATATTGAAGATATCTAATCAATTGGTTCATGGGCTGTTCAGAGTAAAGCCGTAGAACAGTGTTAATCATGAAAGAATGCTGCTTACTTGTAAAAGGTTCACTGCTGAGAGAGCAGCCTTCTTTGCTGTGTTCTTAAATGTTACATATTGGGTTATCTCAAGGGCAATTCTTTAAATTTAAAATTTAGACGCAGTCAGATATGTCAGATGAAGAATTGAATGATGATCTTCTACAGAGTGACAACGAAGAGGACCAACATTTCAGGTTTGTCGCTTACTGCTTCGCCCCAATAATGTAATTGGGTTTCTAGATCAGTGCCTTGAATGAGTCTTACCGAAATAGGGGTGTTCACGTGTTTCACACTGGGAAGAGAAGAGAAGTTACTTTTTACATTGGAAGAGTATGACTAGAAATTCACATTTGAGACTAAGTTTTAAAAGTTGAAGAAAATACAGCTGCTATATAGAGCCTGTTTTCTCAGATGCATTCAGCAGTGCTATTATGCTGATTAAAAAAGTTGGTTTCCATTTTGGAAGCCAACAGGAGTTTATTTTTAACGAGACATTCCAATTGAATAATTGGTTAAATTTTAGGCCTGCAATATATAATTGTCTAAAAATATTTAAAAATAAAAATATTTTATCAGCTTTAAAAAGTAGTTGTGTGGATTTGTCTGAAAATTTTGTATTTTCTTACATGAATTATAATAACAGGGTAATTTGCATTTGAAATTTTTCAATCCGCATTGACAATTTTTCTAAATTCCCAGAGTGATCAGTTAGCATGTCTATTTTACTTGTGTTTAGTCAACAAAACTGAAAATGTTGAAATTGCCAAGCTTATCTAATATCACATATGCAGTTGTCATCCATTTATTGTTACTAATGAATGTATGAAACATTTTTTTCCTGTAAAACAATAAAGCACTGGAAAAAATTCCATCCCACATCACTGCAATGTTGTGTAGCAGTGAATACTTCTGAAAACCTCAGATGGCAAGCCCCATATTTCCTTGTGTAGGTAACATGGCCTCTCCTTAGGTGATACCTGTGGTAACGTGCATAATTTTAAACACCTAGAGAGATATCCAATGAAGTCTGAGTAATCAGAGTAGACCCACTGAAAATAATGAACTTAAGTCCATTGATTTCATTGGGTCTATTCTGAGTCTGGCTAACAGTGGATATTACACATTATATGATTGTTGCCTAACAAAGGTTGTTTTTATTCATACACAAACCTAACAATTTGACTGGATTACAGTTAATCTGTAGAGTTAACTGGTCAACTAGGTTTTCTTTTAATGGGATGGAAATCCTAATAATTTGCATTGGTGCACAGCTTCAACATTCAGTCCCATACTCTCTTCTGCATTAATTTGTTCATCTCTATGTCTTTAACGTGTCAGTTTTTTGAAAGATAGGCAAGAAAATTAGAGGATTGTTCCTTCTGGATAGTTAAGGGCATTTTAAGGTGGGGGAGGTCCTATAGTTGGCTAAACTAAGTCATTGGCTTTTACTGCAGAATTTGTTGGTTAACTTCTTCTGAATCCTCAAATTCTAGATAAGACATTTTGAGGACACATTTAAAATAGAACTTTTACAGACGATGCAAATTCCAATTCAAAGTCTATTCAAACAGCCCTACCCCTTTAAAAGCATTATTTCATTGTAAGAAATAAAAGTGAATGAAAGTCCAAATTGATGTCTGTCAGCATTAATGTAGCTCAGGCTGATGAGTAGTGAGTGTTGTGATAGTGTACGGTAGTCTGGGAATTAACATGAACTGCAGCTTGCTTGGCTACCTTGTACTTCTTGTCAGCCTAACCTGTTAGACCATCTGGTTGGTTTGATCCCTCTGGTCAAATAGCCTGCAGCTGATGATAAGCTGTGGTATAAGTATGCATATTATGAGTCTGTGGCATAGAGTCAAGTTGATGTGTGAGCTATGCACTTTGCTATTGAATGCAGACACTGTATGATCTATCTGCATCCTGTACAGAATGCACATGCACACAACCTGCTGTCATACTGTGGTTAATATATTGATTTTTCATCTTTTCTTTTCTTTTTTTGCTCTTATCATAGCACTCAAGGTGTCACAGTTAGTCTTAATGCTACATCTGAAGTAGCTACATCCTTTGAACTCTCGGAGCATGCCAATGATCAGTCTGTTGAACAAGATTCAGAGTATGAACAAGGGGAGGATGAACTGGGCTATGACAAATCAGAAGTGCCTGAAGAGTATTCTGGGGAATACACAGAAGAAGGGCAGTATGAAGGCCAAGAGGCTGAGCTGACAGAAGACCAAATAGAATATGGGGAAGATCAGGGAGAAGAAGAGATTTATAATGATGGAGTGCTAGATCTCGAAATCAATGAACCTCTAGATGATTTTACAGTGAGTTTCTTTCTATTGTATTATCTGAGATAACATTGCTCCACATGCCTAGGTTTTTAGACTGATTTGAAATCTGTTTACCTCCCTAGGGATGTGGGGAAAATTAGACCTATTATCACTGTCTGCCAGTTTCTTTATCTAGGCTGTGACAAAGTTTGTGTTGACAGCTTGTTTGGCTGTAGGTAATGCTCCTTTGTCATTCTGGAAGGCAGTTGAGAATCATGACCTTGAGGATTGTATCCTTAAGGAAAAAACAGCTTTGTGTGGTGGGGAGACAGTGCCAATTGTTAGAAGTACTTAATGCAAAAGCTTTTATCCAGGCTTTAGACACGATCTGATAAAGTCCTTCGAAGGTGAAAAGATTATTGACCTGCTAAAGACATCTTTAAGGTGCTAATATTCCAAAGTGATTGATGTCCTGCTTCCTCCTTTCCACCCCTCCTCTTTTTTTTGTAACTGAGAACTGTCTAAAGCTGAATAAAGAGGTTGGAGGTTACTTCACCAAATGTCGTATGCATAATTGTTTCAGTTTAAGTTGCTGAAGCGGTTGCCCAACTTGAGTTAAAAATAATATAACTCTCTGTTTGTCCAAAATATTGTGTACAAAAAAATTATAAAGAAGCAACGGATTCATTGATATTTTAAACTTGCTTCATTTGTTTCTTTTAAAGCATGTAGTAAAGTGTTGTGCAAGGTGGTAAAGCATCTAGTAGTTGGGAGTTAATAGAAATTACTCCGTAGGCATATGTTATGATATTAAAGGGAATGAAGTATACTTCTTGGCAAAACTGTTGGACTATAGTGGTGCTGCACTGCTTATGTATGGAGTAGAGCCTTCTCTAAAATTTGAAAAGAAAAACATCTTAAGGAATTGGTGCTATTTACTGTTAATTTAGTTCATAATGTTTCATAGCTATAGTGGTTATGGTAACCCTAACTTACTGTGTTGAAACCATCAGTTTGTGTTGAAATAATCAGGGCTGGTGGCACCCGTGGCCCTTCAGCCCAGCCAGAATGGGATGGTGGAGTTTGTAGTCCAATCTGGAGAGTCACAGGTTTCCCACTCATAGTTTATACTCTCCTAAACTAGTTGTTTGTGCAAGAGATGTTAGTACCTACACCATGGATTGAACTTAGAGCATGCCACTTGGGGCCATTACCAAACAAAAAGGTTCCCAATCTCTTCCCTCACCCTTCCCTTTAACTAACATGCTCAAATTCCCTCTTCCCTTCCTTAATCACATCTAAGTGTTACATTAAAATCATGGTTAACATTATTTGGTTTTCCTTGTAACCAGCTTTGAATTCTGGTTAAGAAGGAACCCTGGTTAAGGCTGGCTCTGACAGAACAGTCAGTTGTGACCAAGAGACCCAGGCAGCTTCAGATGAAATTTGTGTCCTCCCATAGCTTCCTCCCACAAGCAGAAGCATTTTAAGATTAAAACATTTTCATCATGCAATTATTTCAGGATGAAGATTATATACAGTCCTACAGTGAGCAGCAAGCAATTGAACAGCAAGAATATGTAGCTGAAGAAGAATTGGAGGAGGTTGCTGACACCCAGACACCTCCAAATGAGTCGGAAGAGGTACTTTTGAAGAAGTGAAATCCTAAAGGCAAATACTGTTTAGCACAAGGGATTGAAAAGTATTTCAGGAATTGTCAGTGGTTTTGTCTGGTTTGCGTCTGTTCTTGGCAGTCCTCATGTGAATCTTTTTTGGAAAAGATAGGAGGAGGAGCTGTTCAATGATTCTTTGTTAGCCTTGCCTTTCAAACATGTTCTTTTGTCTAAGCTATGAGTGGCTCTATTTGTCAGGATGGCCAACATTTCTAAGCTACAGACAGCAGTTGCCATTATCATTGAGGGCCTCGGGACACGTACACAGTGCGCCTGGAATGCTCAGCTCCTCCTCATCCGCTACTCCCACTGTTACGTGTTTCTCCTCTTCTGGCAGATCTCACAGCTACTTGTAGTTCTGCACATGACCACTCATTGGCCAGCCCCACTTTTTCTTCTCATATATGAGTTTCCTTAGCTTGTACGTTAACATTATCTTTTGGAGTGTTGGCAGTTAGCTGTGGTATGGTTTTGTGGCAGTAGGCCAGGGTAGAGGAGGGAAAGGATGAAACACACACCTCTCCCCTGCAGATTTTAGTAGTTTATGCTTTTTCTCTTCATTATTCTCTTATTAACACCTGAAGCGACTTTGAAACATGAACTAGTATGCTCTTGGCCCAAAATAAACCTGTTTGGCATCACTTTGTAATTAAATAAGCCTAATTACAAGTAGGGCTGCACAACTGATAAGTTGTACATGGTGATAACAACTCTTGATTTGTGTTTACTTTTTTCCTCTTTTGGTGGAACTGACTCATCTCTCTAGAGCCCCTTATGTACAATGGTAATTTAATTTTCTTCAGGCTCTCAAAGCATTGGAGGGAATTATCTGCATTGAACAGACATCACTGGCCATCTGCTTGTAAAGAGGTTTAAATTTAAACTAGTGGTTCCTATTTCAGTTGAAATATTGGCAAAGCAAGATTTTAGTTAGCCAGTCTTCTAAAGAGTTGTCATTAGAAAGTTCTCTTTTCCTGACCTATCTTATCCACTTCAGAGTTGGAGGGGCCATGGAGGCAAGGGGTTATGAAGCCTTAAGCAAGGCCAAACCTTTAATAAAAATGCCATATACTATATGCCACAAGAATTCTGACACTTGACACTTCAAGAACTTTGGATGAACAGACATCTTGCCAGCAGATGGAGACAAGAAATTCAGAGTGACTTAGGGCAGCCGTCCATGAGAAGACCAATTATTACCTGAGCAATAAGTTCATTTTTGTTTGACGCATTTTATTTCCCCCCCTCTTCTGCAAGAGACTAGCTGCCACTCTTAGCTTTCTCCGCCAGTATTTGAGGCAGGGGATTATATTATCCTTTTGGATTTAAGGTTCTTCATCCTAGTTCTCAGTTTCTTTTAAACTAGGAAGTTGGAGCTTTAGCTAGATGGTTTGACAGGCAGTTAGCTTTTTTCTTCATGATCTTAAATAAAGGCTCATCACCCAAGTTAGTGTTTTCCTCAGAACCCACTGGCTCACTTGGCATTTAAAGCCCATGGCGAGTTGTATTTTCTTAAGTGTGTTTAAAGCATTTCCTGTATCACAAAATGCAGCATGCTCTACTTGTGTTGCAATGGTAGAGAATAGAATTGCAAGGGCTTGAAAACTGCCTAGAAATTAAAGTGACTGAACTTAAGGTGCTGAGGCATCTGGATGAGTCCAAATAATAGAATAATACAGCATTTGAATATGCCACTATTTTTTATCATTTTTGATTCATTTCAACTCCATATGGTGAATGAATGTACTGCGTATGCAGTAAGCACCTCCTCCCTTCCTTCATGTTTCTTATTCTGTTGTGTTAGCCACCCCAAGTTTGTATACAGTGCATTTATATCCCTCCCTCTATATCTTTCAGTGGGGTAAACAGCTCCAGGGCTCCATCCTTTCTGAATTTTCGAGTCCCAAGATCTAAAAGTTTATTCGCCTGTAATATTAGTTTTCCTTTATCTTTTTTGAGCATGTGGCAAAAACTGGATTGGATATTGGCTTGACTTTCCTAACTGTACACATGAAGTTGTATTTTTCATAACCTACAGTTGCTTTCCTCGTGGCTACATTGTACTGATGGCTTTAGGTACCTTGTGGTAAGCATAGCCACTTGCTCCCCCTCCTCCTTTGTCATGCTTCCTGATGAGACTATATTAGTGTGTGAAAGTGGCTGTTCATTTGTGGGTGCTAGCCCTTACACCTAATACTAAACATCTTCCCCTTTTGTTTTTTTCTGGTCTAGAAATATTCTAATCAAATAATAGTGGTGGGTGTTCACAAAGGGCTTAGAAACACCAGGCAGCTAGGATTCAGTTCATGGTGTTAGCTGAATCTTCTTTTTTATAGGGTACTGAGCTTTCTTGCAGCACATCAAGAAGTAGGATCAGGATCGGAATAAGCAAATATCGGCATGTTTTGTACAAACCAGAGATGGTAGCTTAAAGCAAACTAGTTAGTTATACACGCTGTCTTCATAAGTTGGCTTGCTTTTAAATTGACCAGAGTTGGGTTTTTAAGCAGCAATATCTGGGCTCATATGACAGAACAAGTAAAGTTTATGTGAAAGGGAAATAGGAACATGTGGGAGGAGGAAGCATGTGAGTCTCAGACTTTGCTTGGGTTAATGTCAAACACTTAAGACTAAATCATGATTTAGTGCTATGTGCAAAGATAGCCAATGTAAAGTAACTTCAATCTAGGATATTGAAAACCTACCCGACCAATAATTTACACTTATCCTCCTGTGCTAATAGGCGGTTATTGAAAACCTAGAGCTTCAAGAAGAAACCAAAGAAGAGTCTGATGAAGAAGAGGAAGATGACGAAGAATCTGGTCGATTACGTTTCAAAACTGAACGGAAAGAAGGAACAATCATTAGACTTTCGGATGTAACAAGAGAGCGAAGAAACATTCCAGAAACTTTGGGTAAGATTTTTGGTTAGTGGTCATGGCACTAGAATTTAGGTGCTTTTAATTAAACAAACTAACACATTATTTGTACAGTTTAGTATGAATATGTAAGCATTACTCTAAAGTGACCAAAGAGAAACACAAACCAAAGTGTTTGGTAAGTTGGTCTGTAATAGAGTTTTAGTGGCAAGTAACAAAAAATATTTCCCCTACCATTTCAATTTTGTGTTGCCTTTAAAAAAAATGCACAGTGGGCCTGTTTAATTCTAATGCCAATTTAGACTTGTATGAATGAGCCTGCTTGAGCCATGAGGATATCAGAAGATAAGGCTTCTAGTTTTTGAGTAGTCACGGTTCCCTATTACGCCCAAACTTATGGCTAAATGAACTGCATTTCCCCCCAAGTTTGGCCACAATGGGTAACTACAGTCAGTTTAAAAGTGAGGTTCATGCAGTCTTGTTCATGTAACAGTAGCCAATAGCTGCACATTGAGGCTCAATTCTGTGTATGTAACTCTGAAATTCAAGTTTGGACATTAGGTGAAAGCACATGTAAATCCATTACTAATTTTGCAGGATTAATTTGTTCTGTTTATTGGCTGTGTAATTCTGCCCCAGAGTTTGATAGCAGAGCAGCTGGAGCTTTCTTTTTATTTCCTCTATTCCCTCCCCACTTTAAACTACTTTACTTTTAGGAGGAGGTTGTGATTTCATAATGGTTGTAAAATACTGTATTAATTCAGAAGCTATTTTTTAAAATCCAGATTCTTCTGGAGCAAATAACTGATATGGCCAATTTCAAAAGCCCTTTTATTATAATAGATTATAAAAGTGATGTGTTCAAAGAATCATAGAGTTGGAAGGGACCCCAAGGGTCATCTAGTCCCACCCCCTGCAATGAAGAAATCCTGCCCACAGCAGTTCCTGGGTAGGCTCTAACCACCAACCTTCTGGTTAACAGCCAGATGCACTGACCCTTTGCACTGAAAGCTCCCATTATCTGCCATTTTTACACGTCAGTTTTACATAAGTAAAAGAATATACTTTTGGTTATGTCTAGATGTGTCTCTCATTCCCAATTTGGGAACAAACGTGTTATCTCTAGGGTGACACGCAATGTCTGCTCAGCATGGAAGCAGGTCTTTCCACCAACACACACTTTTCTAGAAGGTTTGGCTGATTAAAGATGGTTCCTGAAAGAACTCTCACATTTATGCTGTCATCATAGTGAGGTGGAACCGGCAGGATTGCTACTGAATTATTTACAGTCTCAGTGTGCCATCTTGCAAAAGTACATGCAAACAAGTCTGCTTTTGAAATGTTCTCAGCTTCGGAATCAATACAAAGGCCTTGTGTAGTTTGAGAACAGAAGATGCTGGTTTATCCCATGATGCGACAACCTCAGGAGTGTGTTTTCTGTTGCTTATCTCAAGGACTGCTTCTGCCCAAATGAACCAACCCAGACCCTGTGATCATCATCTGAGGCCGTCCTTGTGTGCCCCCTCTACAAGAGGTCTGGAGATTGGCAACACAATCACGGGCCTTTCCTTTCCATTTGTGGAATGCTGTCACTGGGGAGGCTTACCTGGTGCCATCATTACATATTTTTAGGCGCCAGGAAAAAATGTTTCTTTGCAATCAGGCCTTTGGCTGGTTAACCGTTCTGTGGCCTTTTAAATGTGCTTGTCGGAGGGGGTTTATTGGTTTGTTTTTGTTTGATTATGTATTTATGTTTTCATGTTGTGAACTGCCCTGTGATCTTCAGGTGAAGGGCGATATACAAATTTAATAAATCATAATAATAGATATACCCTTTTAAGGTGCATCACTGTCCCGGGTCTCTTACGAAAGTAACATAGGCACTTAAACACAGTGATTGATTGGAGGGAGACCTGCAAATGACAGCCTCCAGGAAGGAGACCTATAGTTCATATATTCATGTCAACAGTTGTATGCATTAGTACTTCCCCCTGTATTTCTGTATTTTTACTTTATTTATTTATTTATTTATTATTTTTATACTCTTTCACCCAAAGACCATAGGGTGGTTTACAATATAAAAAACACAAAAATACATACCATAATAACAAACAAAACCAATACTCTGCTCCCATTTAAATCAAAATATTTAAGGTGGGATAAAGTAGTGTGCTTTTGAGGAAAGGAAATGTGCACTCACCAGGCCTCAGTCAGAGGAGTTTAGCACATGAAACAGGAATCATTGCAGATATGGTAGCCAGGGCTTGAAATTTCAGGTTCATAGGTGTTACAATACAGATTTAGAGACCAGTGTTGCATTGGGCTGAATAACTGCAGGTTTCTAGGTTATGAACCATATGGGATTATCTGGTCCTGATTTATCAAATAGTTTGATAAATTTGATTTCTCCTTTTTCCCAGGCTAAACAACTTCCTCAACCATTCCTCATCAGGCTTGGTTTCCAAACCATTGATCATCTTGGTTGCCCTCCTCTGCACACACCCCAGATTTAATATCTTTCTTAAATTGTGGCACCCAGAACTGGACTCAGTACCTCAGGTGTGGTCTGACCAAGGGAGAATAGAGTGGAACTGACACTATATTTCTATTGAAGCAGCCTAGAATAGTATTAGCTTTTTTTTGCTGCTGCATCACACTGTTGATTCATTTTAAGGTTATGGTCCACTCAGTCCCTTAAACGCTTTTCACATATTCTACTGGTATGCCAGGTGCAGCTATTTCTTCAGATGCCTCCCACTTTTCTTTCTTGTTGGAATTGTCTGCATTTGTGCCTTCCATATTTTACCTTTAAGAAACTTCCATTGGACTCCCTTCTCTTTGAGTATTTCTGACCATGGGATCTCACCTAGTAGTTCCTTAAGCTTTTTGAAATCAGCCTTCTTAAAGTCCAGAGTGGGTGTCTGACTACACTCAGCTTCCTCTTGCCTTTCTATCCTGAAACCCAAGATGACATAAGCACTTCCTCCCAATAATAAAAGATGAAAATGCATACAGCCCATCAAAAGGCAGAGTTTGGGTTGAACTGAAAGAACCAGGATATAGACTAAAACCTGAAACTTGTGGAGTGTATGAACATGGCTGGCTTCCCTGAGATTTGTACCACAGCTGAAAAGGTCTCGTTCCTAGTAGAAGTCTGACTTCTTTGGTGTCTGTCTAAAACCAGCACCTTTAGTTAATCTCAGAAACAAATAGGTGGATAATGTAGATAAAAATATCATTTTTCTGATTGTGGAAATAGATATGTGTGTGCATGTGTTATTGTGCTACTATCTAGGCAGAATTCAGCTGGAAAAGGATGTTATTGCGATATTTACTAGCAGAAATCAGTTGTACCTAGAAACATCCACAATTGCAGAAGCCCTTTCACTTTCTGTCCTCTAATCTGAAAAGTAGTTGAGAGATTAGTAAATGCTTCTTACCAGTGTGGGGCCTGCTTAGAAGGATTATTAATATACATAGAAATATATATAGTCATTTAATTTATGAATATTCACATGGTCCAGTAAACTATAGCATAAAACTGTTATAGCTAATAAAAATGAAAAGTTGAATGAAGAATGAAACAAACTGATTAGCAGCTTGCAAAGAGTTCTAAATGACGTATTTTATACAAGTCTTTCAGTTAATTTTGTATCTTACACCCAAGTTTTTCTTTGAAAAGTCATTGTCAGCTGGAGCCGTTAAAAGATCTGCAATAATTGATGTCTATTAGGGATCAACCTAATAGGACTAAAAAATGTAGTAGAACTGGCGTAATAAATATTACTTTCCTTTCAGTACTGATTGCTCTTAATAGGAATTACGGGTATAGAAATGAAACTTGGTTGTATAGCTACATTTCTTTACTTTAAAATCTAGACATAAGTTGAAAAAACACTTAAAAGAGAAATTAATATTTCAGTGGAAATTACAAACGTAATTTCCATCCTGTCACTTTTTGGTGACCTTTCGTGACAGCTTGTCTCTATTGGAGGGAAGCATTCTTACTTGCTGATTAAAGATGTCGTTTCAAACCATTTTATTACCAAGGATAGCAAAATTAATCTTGACATTTGGAGGCACTAGAAAAATAATTGCTGATTCACTGCATTAGGTATATGTGAAAGAATTCTACAGTTAAGATTGGGTGTCTGCTGGCAAAAATATGTTAAACATTTTCCCTCATGAATGGAGCAGAGGCATCTCCTAAGTGTTGCTTTTGCAAATGAAAAGGGAAATCTCTTGGCTTGAAAGAGTTTTCAGGAGGGTAGATCATACTGTATTGCATATAAAATAGTGTTTTGGGAACTATGGCCCAAAGAGTGCATGAGGGGGGTGTTACTGATCCTGCCCCCTCCTAGTAGTGGCTACTTGCAACACTGCTATGGAGTGTTCCCTGATCCTTGGATTTTTAAAAAAGTCTTAACGCTAGAATTTGTGGACATCCAATGAAACTGTATATTGGAAGGTTCAGGACAGACAAAAGAAAGTACTTCATACAGTACACAGCTCTGGAATTCACTTCCCCAAGAAGGTAGTGGTGGCCGTCAACTTGGATAGCTTTAAAAGAGGATTAGACTGATTCGTGGACAATATCAGCTGTGACGGCTGTGTTTCACCTCCACTGTTGGAGGGAGCATGACTCTGAATGCCGGTTGCTGGAAATCACAAGTGGGGAGAACTCGGGTCCTGCTTTCAGGCTTCCCATAGGCATCTGGTTGGTCACTGTGAGAACAGGATACTTGATCCAACAGGCTCCTCTTAGGTTCTTATGAGAGCGTATGGGCTCTGAAGTGGGTATGGCAGCTGAAAAGTCCTCATGCAGTGGATCACACAAAGGTCTCTGGATCCCTTCTCGTTGCTCATGTGAAGCTGTAAGATTTCTCAGTAATTCAACAATTCCTTTCAAGGGTACTCTTTCATGTTAGGTACAGAGCTTTGTCTTATACCACTTCTCATATGTGATCCAATCCAGTTAAGATCTTCATCTGGTACTCTTCTTCATGCTCCATCTTCCACCAGGAAGCAAAGCATGGAGCAGAACCTTGGGACAGGGATGTCTGATAGTTGATCAGGCATAGCCAACTCGGCCCTCCAGGTGTTTTGGGACTACAACTCCCATCATCCCTGACCACTGGTCCTGTTAGCTAGGGGTGATGGGAGTTGAAGTCCCAAAACATCTGGAGGGCTGAGTTTGCCTACACCTGCTGTTGATGGATGTTTTCTCTGTTTTATAGATACCTGCTTTCAAAGGTGTGAGATACCCCAAGTGCAGGAGAAGCTGAATATAAAGGCTTCTAATGAATGAATACCCATGGGCAAACTTGTATATATCAGTTGAGAATGGCACCAGTAGGAATAAGGAATTATGGGTGGAAGGCAGAGGATAAAGGATTCTTGAGGAAATGATTTCTCCCCTCTCTCCATCTTGTGTAAAGAAACAAACACAGAACAAAACAAAAACTCTTGACTGGAGGGGAGTAAGAGCCCATTTTCTCCCTCCTCCCCAGATGGTTCTTTTTTTGGGGAGGGGAGCTGGCTTTCATTACATCCCTGAAGCAATTGCTTCCTTGCCCTAGCAGAGATGTGTTAGCACATGTGGACTGCTCCAGAGCATTCCTCATAGAACCATAGAGGGACCAGGAGGATCGTCTAGTCCACCCCTCTGCAATGCAGGAATCTCAGCTGGCCATCCAACCTCTGTTAAAAAACCTCCAAGAAAAGAGAGTCCACTACCTCTGGAGGGAGACCTTTAATCAGAATCATTTTGGAGGAGTTGGGAAGCAATGGGCAGTCCAGAGCAGGTTTTCTGTTCTGTGCCCCTACCAGTTGGGCATCCTTATTGTCCACACCCCCAACATACTATTTTGAAATAAACTGTATGGATCTGAGGGCTGTGAAGCTACTGCAATCACACACATTTCCAGTTTTAGTTTTCAGGGGGTGTCGTCCCCTTCTCTGTTTGTGGCCTGGCTCCCTGCAGTCTGTCTCCCCAGGCACTTTTCTAAGCTGTGCTCTGATGTTGGAAGTGAGCTTGATTGGGAGAGAAGTGCTTGATGAGGAGGTATGCTATGTAGCAAGTGCATGGGAGCTATGCACTCAACTGCACACCCTTCTTGCTCTTAAAACTGGAAAACATACTTTTCTGATTCTGTGGGACAGGATCAGATCAGAGTTGAGAGTGTCATTTGGAGCATTTTGTGCTCCTTTATCAAGGCTGTAAAATACAAAAGACAAAAGTAATAGAACTGCATAACAAGGTTGTCAGTGTGCTTGTACAGCACAGTTGTAAATACCAGATTCCTTCAGTTTGGTTGCATAAAGCAAGGTTTCACGAAGCAATTAATTGTGGTGTCAAGCCCCCTTCCTCCTCCAAAAAACAAAAGGGAAAAGCTTTCAGGTATGAGAAGTACAGAGTTGTGAGTTCCATAGCCAAACTCCATTTTTATTTATATGCATTTAACAAAATTAATATACTGCTTACTCAAACCTCTAAGCATTTGTGTGTGTGTGTTGGAATGAGCAGCGAGAGTTTAGAAAGTGAGCATTAGTATTGCCCAGGCTTTGCTTTATTTAACAGCCCCAAATATATTTCTGAATCTGTTGCCTTAAGTAACAAATTCAAAATGAAATTAAAAATTAAGCCGTGAGCTCCATTGCAGTCTGCTATGTAATGGAAACTTTATTGTGATTATAGAAAAAGGCATGCTTGAAGTAAGTTGAATTATTTTTTTCCTCGAATGAAGGGAAAAGTATTTTCCTCCATGGTGGTAAAACTGAGGCATTTAACTTGCTCAAATAGCACTAGCAAAGCCTTGCATTTAATTAATTTTCTTACATTTATATCCTGCCTTTTGTCTGTAATGGAATCCATCAAGCTTTATGTGTAGTTCCCCCATCCAGACACTGGCCAGACCCAGACCTTCAGCAAGGCGGTGGCCTCACTTTCCTTCAGGCCATATAAACACTTGTCAGGCAGCCATAAGCAACAAGAAATTGCAGGCAGGCAAGGGAGCTGTGTTAGTTCTATCAAATCATGTCCACAGCTTGAGGCTCAGGTTTGTCCTCTACCATCTATTGCGGATTAGATGTTTGACCTTTCTTCTAGCTTCTGCCGAGGAACCAGAGAAATTGTTTCTCTAGACAGTTGTAGAGCTCCTTTCTGCTGGAGATGTCCTGCAGACCGTGTGTATAGGGCTGCTTTCAACATCTGGGAACTAAAATGGAAGCACACTATGGTTATGCTATGTGTGTAAAACACATTTTGTGTGTTATTTAAAACTGCTTGCAGAGGTTTGCATCTTAAAGGTATGCATTTGGTCATCCCACAACCCTTTTGCCTGGGAAAATGAAGAAAAGCAAATGCTTGACTTTCTGCTAAGGCAGTTCTGATTGAATTTATTGAGATTTTCTTCAACTGGAAGGGAAACCTTGTAGTGATATCTAAATCTAAAGAAATAGAGGTGGTGGTACTGATGTTGATCCAGGAAGTTGCCGTGGAATCAATTATAAGATCCATTTCAACTATACACCTTGATGCATTTTATTTATACACATTTTCCAACCTGTTCTGGAAATCTGTTGTTTCCATATTACTTAAAGCACACCTGTTATTGATATGTTTAATGAAATCTGATCAGATAATAGCTGTACAACCTCTGCTATCTATAGTATGCCACATTAAGGTTATTGTGAGAGACAGGAAAAATAAAAATAGTTTCACAGATGAATCTTGAAAGAGCAACAAACCGACACGCAAGTGCTTATATTCCAAAAAACAAATTTAGTTGCAATCTGATTTGAGATGTTGGTGGAAATCTGCTTTAAGAAATTCAACAGCTGTAAGCCACTCTTGGAAGAATAAAACATTTCTTTCTTGATAAATGCAAGGATGCAATTCTATTTGCAAATTAAAAAGATCTGGTAAAAGTAATGTGTGTGCCCTATAATCGGGGTGATGGGTGGCTGTGCAATTTTGTTGTGGCTGCAGGGAAAAATTTTATTACTTCATTAGTCCATTTAATCCTCCTGGTAAATATCTAAAAGCGCCCCCTTCTTTCATCTGATAGAACTTTCTGCAGAAGCCAAAGCAGCGTTATTTGAATTTGAAGAGAGGGAAAGGCAAATGAAGCAGGGGCGTTATGGCTCAAGAAGAGGAGGAGGAGGAGGAGGAAGGAGAGGAGGGCCTTTAATGTGTCGTGGGATGGGAGAACAAAGAAGAGACAACAATGAAAGGGGAAGAATGAAGGATCACAGGCCTGCGTTGCTGTCGACCCAGACATCTGTTACGGTATCCAAATGCAATGATTATGGTGGTCAGGGTTGGTGAATTTTAGTTATTTAAGCAAAATTGTTGAAAACACTGACTGCATTAAGCTGCTTAAGGTTGAATTCAATAGTTCATTTATTGGCAGAGCATATACACGAGCATGGTTCCTCCACTGCCCCATCCTGAGGTTTCTGAGAGATCCTGTGCCCCAAGTTCTTGCCGGGGTGGGGGGGGGAGCTATTTTAGGAGTAGCCAAGGACCAATGTCAAAAACTGCTTTTAACTTTGCTGAGTTTCCAGTGAGGCTCCCATGTAGTGCAGAAAGCTGCTGTGGCTTTTATATCAAGAGTAGATACGAGGCTGGGTAAGTTTGCAGTAGTAGCATTCTAAGTGGGAGAACATTCTGGTGGGAGAACGTAAAGGAATGGGACTGGTAGCTACTATAATCATGATGCTGAAAGCCTCCACTTTCTGAGAAGCTGCTAAGTAGAGCTTGATGGCAATGGCTTGTCTGCTGCTGGTGCCTCTCCCTCCCCACACATTGGGCTTCCTGTGTACATGGAGTTTCCATTTAGCTATCATGGCTCATAAGCCTGTGAATATCAAACTTCCAGGAGTTTGTGTAGTCAGTAGTCTCAGGGGATGCCTCTGGTTTTTTTTTTTAAAAAAATTAAGGTGATTACAATTTCAAGCAAACATGATTTTCTGTGTTTTCTGTTTAGACACATTCGGAAAGGATATTTCGTCATCAACAGCCCATTAGGAATCTCTTCCAGCAGCAGCACCAGCAGCAGCAACAGCAACAGCAGCAGCAACAACAGTTGCAGGGGCTGTTACCCATTCCCCCTCAGCTTCATACGCCACCTCCGCCTCAAGGGATGCATATGCCACCCCAGCTAGAAGCACCAAGAATGCTGATGAATCCTCCTCCAGTGACATCTCAGCAGCCCAAAAACATACATATAAACCCACACTTCAAAGGAACTGTAGTAACACCTGTGCAAGGTGAGATTATGTCAGAAAGCAACACTATAAACAGCCGCTTAATTTTGTCCTGGAGCAGCCCCCTCCAGTTCTATAGGTACAACATGATGGTGATAATTTATATACTGCCCTATACTCGGGGATCTCAGGGTGGTTCACAGAATAAAATTATGTGATTATTCTGCATGTACTGCTGTGTTACTGCCTTCATTTATGCAGAGGTGTGCTTCTTTGAAAGGGTTGGTGTAGTGCTGAAGTAGGGGAAAGGTGTCTATTCAGTCATATATATACAGTCGTACCTTTAAAGTTGATTGGAATCCGTTCTTGAAGTTTGATCGACTTCCAAAACCAAAGCGTGGCTTCTGATTGGCTGCAGGAAGGAAGCTTCTGCAGCCAATCAGAGGCCCCATTGGATGTTCGACTTCCAAAAGAACATTCGAAAATTGGAACACTCCGGGTTTCGATCATTTGGGAGCTGATTTGTTCGGGAGCCGAGGCATTCGAGATCCAGGGTACAACTGTACTGCCTTGGCGTTTACTGCCAGCGTATAGAGAACATTTACATTAAATCAAAACATTATTTATTCAGGCAAGTCCAGCAAGTGTGTGTGTATTGAATGCTGGCTTTAAAATGTCAACATGCTTCGCTCCTTCCATTCATTCCAGGATTTGAACTACAAAATCATCTAGATTATTTGAATACAGTCATACCTTGGGTTATGAACGCTGCGGATTGCGCGTTTTCAGGTTGCGGACCGCGCCCAACCCAGAAGTACCGGAACGGGTTACTTCCGGGTTTCAGCGCTCATGCATGTGCAGAAGTACAAAATGACATCATGCGCACAAGTTCTGAATCGCGTCACACGCGTGCACAGACGCGGTGCTTCAGGCTGCGAACGCTGCGGGTTGCAAACGTGCCTCCTGTACAAATTGGTACCATTTCCTGTACCTGGTACTTGGAAATGGTACCAATTTGTTTTATTTCTGATCTTTTGAGTCCAGTCATTGGGTAACACCTAGTTCAGAACCAACATGACAAGTTAACTTTATAATTGATGATTCATTCACATATATATTGTTCAATTGTACAAAATTTGTGTGTTGCCTTTGCTAGCTGAATCCCAATTGCCCTCTTGAATGCTCTTAGTAAATTTTTCCTGCCTGCAGCTATTTGGAAGAACGGGGAAGCAGCTGCCTATGAATATGACTGCTTATAAAAATGGCCTAGAGTCTTGGCTAAAACAAATTGATTTAAAAGGTGTGCTCCTTGTTTTTAGTGCCCTTGCTGCCAGTCCCAAACCAGCCAAGACCTGCTGTAGGACCCCAGAGATTTCCTGTGAGTAGCAGCTGTTTTTTCTTCTCTGATAGGGATAAGCATACATTTGCAAAGAAATATTAATATGGCAAATAAAAGCGGTGCCAGTGAAATATAACTTTAAGGTTTTGTAAATATTGACAGTGGTCTGTGCAGTAGAAAATGTTTGTTAGAAGCTTAAGATCAATGAATTTCTGAGAGCAGAATTAATTTTGTTTAATTGTTAAATTTGTCGAGCTACTCTCTCAAATGGGGAGTGTTAAAATAGAAAAGTGCAATGATTTTTTTAAAAAATGACTTTCCTGTTCATTACAGGAATGCTAATTTAATAAAAAGGTCATACTTAAAATGTGTTGTGCTTGGAAAATATAAAGATCTGTACTAGTTTTGTACTTATTTGAAGCATTTAATAGCAGATGTTGAGTTGACACTGGCTAATTCTACCCCCCCCTTTCTTATTTTTGGCTTCTAAAATACACTTTCTCTTTCTCCTTGATTGATTTACTTCTCTGACATTAGTCTTACTCCTCAGGATCAATGTCATATAGTCCCACCTTGCCAGTCCTTGCCATCTTCAGGGATATCCACATGTAGAGCACATTGATAATCCAACCAGTTTGGATTACTGAATAATGTGGGCTATAGTATCAAGGTTGTCCTTATCCAAGAATGTTTGAAGGTAGTGCAATAGCTAAAGCTGGGCATAGGCACTCCTCACCACTGTGACCACTTGGGCCTCCAGTGATGGCTTGGTATCTTGGAGTATCCCTAGATTGCACACCTCTTCTTTCATGGGGACTGCTACTCCATCCTGAATTGACTGGCTACTAATTAATGGATCCAAGAACCAGCCATTCGCATAATGCCAGGAAGTCAGTTTATTGACTCGCCCAGTACATCCCTGCCTCCTGTACTGCATTTGCACAATCTTTCCTGGTTATGATGATAGGGAGGGATCTTGCTGGGTGTCAGTTGTGTATTGTTGATGCCATGCTCTTAAATTCCCAGATAGGTATTGTTTCCAGACTGTGGAAGGACCACGTGTTTCGAGTTCCGTTTGAATACTTAAAGAAGCTTTAGGAAAACTAGCTATAAAATAATTGTTCATATATGCACAGCCTGTCTGCTTGACCGTAGATTCTAAGACAAAAAATTAGTTGCAAGTAGAAAATGTACACCTCAAAATGCGAGAGTGGATTTGTACTATCCATGGTCTTTTAATAGGATGATTAGTTTTCCTTACATAATCAATTACTGTGTCTGTTTTTTCTGTGAGGGATTACTAATAGTCGTTGCAATTATTGCATAAATCTGTATTACATGCCAAAAATGCTTTGAATCCTGTGGTTGAAGTATTTTCATTTATCTAATTTTACAGAAAATGGATGCATATAAGGAATGAGACAGCCTTACTTTTTACCAAACTAAGGGAAGGTTTTCGTAGAGCAACTGCCCATTTGAAATAGGAACTTGATAGCTGTTACACATCAGTCACATTTCATTCTGAAAAACGCTCAAGTTGTAGATAATGCCGGTCAACAAAACTTGAAAGTTTTTTTTTAAAAAAAAATGAGTATAATATATGTGTAGCCATTATTAGATGAACTGCATAATGCCTATAGAATAAATTATTGTGGGGGACCAAGGATGACTAGTCCATATTCTCGGTTGCTGCTTGTATTTTGTTCAGAGGTGCAAACAGTGACCCATGGGCGATCCAGTTCTATAACTGAGTTGGCATTGCCTTGTAGGGTATTCAGATGCAGAGCACATGAGCTTTGCTGATATGTTACTGAGAAGAAACAAGTGCTGTGGAACAAATGTAGTTCCTGAAAGATCTCCTGAAACGTCAGGCTGGTGGTATGGTGATTTTTGTTTTTCCAGATTGCAGGTGACATTGTAAAACTAGTAGAATGTGTTGTTTAATCACACATTTGGTAGGTCCTTTGGAGGCCAGAAGGTGCTTGAGAGGCCAGCCTTAATCTGTGGGCTGCCATTTTGCTATTCCTGCCATGCACTGCTGCCAGAAGTTGAGGGGAGAGGGAGGAGTAAAACAGCATCATTACTGAGCCTAAACTGAAGAAAAGTAGAAAAAAGTCCTGCTTTTCTGTAGCCAGTCAATTATGGATTGAATTCTAATAGCAAATAGCTTACTAGTTTGGAAGTCAGGATTCCATGTTTCTCTCATGAAACTAGTCCCGTCCCACCCGGTTTGTGGACCGACTTTCGTTAGAATAAATAACAGCTCCCCGAATTCATACATAATGCAGAATTGCAGTTCTTCTTCAAAAATGAGAGTAGAAGCTTTCCTTCTTCATTCCACAGAAAGGGAGCCTCAGGACATAGCTTAGAGGATTTCTTCTGCAGCTTAGATGATCTCCTGAATTGGGTCCATAATAATGATCTGTTAATTTTGGATAGCATGTCATAGTGACCAGCCACTTGGAAGTGTGTTTGCTTTCAGACTGGTAGAAGTTTCTTTCAGACTCCATGAGCACAGTTCTGACACTAACCGCTTTCAGTGCATTTAGAAAATTTTAGACAGCCCAAGTTACTGCAACTCGAAGAAATCATATAAATTGTTCATATTTCAATATTGTTTTGTTTTTTACACGTTTGCATTCCCAGTGCTGCATACGTGTCTCTTCATTACATCATATGAGCATATGTTTACATAGTTGTTTAAATTAGGGTTTTTTCTTCTATGTCACCTTTAATTCTTGTAGTATAATAAAACAAGAAGTTCTTTACCTTATCCAAAATGACTAGCAGTATGTTCCTCCCTAGCTCCTTTAGAAATGGTTGATCAAGATAAATTCCTCTTGGGAAAGACCACAGAATTAATAAATCATTCATTCTAGTAGTTGAGGGGCTTGCTTTTTCAGTTGTCTAAGAACCTTTTCCACACATTATGGAAGCCAAGAGCCAAGCCTGTATTTGGCTCAGTATGCAGCTGTGTTGACTGAGGTGGATGAGAGTTGTAGTACAAAACACCTGGAGAGTAGAGGATTGGGGGATGCTGTTTTACACATACAGATGTTCCGATGAAATATAATTTGTGAATAGGCCTTTATAATAAGTACTTTTTCAAGAGTGTCTTGTGACTGACATTATTTTGAGCATTTGAGAGATTACGGATTACGTGATTGTAGAAATAATACTTGTTTAGACGTTAGATATCAAATGGCATTGGGGGGGGACACCCCTTCTGCGCTACTGCAGCAGTGATTGTGCTTTTGCTATGGCGGTGCTGTTAGAAGAGCAGCAGTAAATGAAATTTTCACTCTATTACTGTGCAGCAGCGGTGGCGAATCTGGTGGTAGTCTGGAAAGCATTTTGTTTTCTTTTTAACATGATACAAGGTATCAGGTGGTCATGATTGACATTTCTTGGATAGAGCTTTATACAGCATTTCATGCAAATCATGCTTGAATGAGACTGCTGAATCAAATTACATTTCTCTCCTATTATAGCCCCTACAGATGTGCAACTGAGCTTCCTCAGCATCTACTGGCAAGCTTTCCTTATGAGGACTTGCCATTTTCACAACTCGTCTGCGCAGCCCTATAATTGCAACACTTACAATAGTGACAGAGTGATGAGTGTTTTCTCTTATCAAATCTATAAGTAGTAGCAAGCAGATGTAGTGCAAGATTCCCAAACACCCCCCCCCCACTCTATACGCTGTCAAACAGTGTCAGGCTGGCAGAGGGAAAATGCAATTTAAAATGCAGGTGACATAATAACAAACACCCTCCATTTGCTAGTGGGCTTCTGATTAATCACTATTACCATACATTATCATACCATCAAATTTAATCATATCAGTGAATTCCCATCTGCAGGAGGAGCAGCAGAAGCTAAATATGATGGTAACAGCTATTAAACAAGAGCGGCAAAGAAGACTTCTGAAATGAAGCAACCCTTTCCCTTCTTGTGTTTTTTCCACAGTTTATTGATCTTACAAACGGTAAAATGAAGCTGAATTAACAGTTGTCCACTCTTTCACGTGACAGATGCAACCGTTACAAACACACACAAAAACAAATCCCAGAACATCAGAATTCACAAAAGCACTATGCTACAGAAGTGTTGAAATAAATGTGACCTCACTTTTGCCCTTCAATCTACAGTGCGTCTAAAGTAGTCAGGAGCTGGGGGTGGATTATAAACCACCCCAGGAATATAATAGGGGTCCCTGATGATCAGATCCCATAATATACCATGCATTTTTTTTTGCGGGGGGGGGGGGAGAGAAGGAATCTTTGCTTTCAGTATGCAGGAATGTTTGCTAATGATCTGAGGAAACATGTAGTTCAGTATGGAATAGGATGTTGTGAACAGGCATGTTTAGCTTTGTGTGTGTGTTTTAAATAGAATTTAAGCAGGAACAGTGCAGGACCCTAAACTACTAAGGGTAATGATTCATGTACAAATTTCTTGTACAGTGAAACAGGAAGCATTACCCACCACCACTACTGCTACTACCACTATTATTAATATAAGATGCCTTTAAAAAAGAATACAAATTTATGTAGGATACCTTTTAGTGGATATTTGCCCTGAGAGCCTCCATATTTGGAAGTAGTATACCTTATGAGTAAGAAGTGCTGGCAACAAAAGAAGAGACACATCATTGTGCTTGGTGAATTCTGGATAGAAGTATATTTTCTGTTCTCTTGTTCCCTTCCACCATCCAAAAAAAACCCCTGGTTTCAAATTCTATTGAGGTCTAATATACAATCTTTCCATTTCCCCAGATGCACAGTTCCAGGAAAAATGTGTGCTGGTATTAATATTTTATTTCTTCCTATCACACGAGCCCAGAATGGCTAACAGTATTCCTTTAACGCAACACAAAAAAGTGCCGAACTTCAGAAACATTTCAAAAAAGTTCATAGCTGAAGTGTTAATTCTTCATTTACTATTGCATTGTAATAATTTTTAAAGTTCTAGCCAGTTCCAGTTTTTTAACCTCCTTGTACTCACCTCCTCCAGGTTAAAACCACAACTCTGCAATA